GGTGTGGTCACATTTACTGTTGCCCTGTGAATTTTCGTAGGTTAAATCCAGTCGTTTCACTAAGAATCCGCACTATCCTACGCAGAATTGAGAATTTTGCGCGAGGGTGGAAATTTTCCTGCTTATTTTTACTATTCTTTTAAATTTAGGACAGTTCTTAAAACTGTATTATTATATCATCAATATTTAAAATATTTGCATCATTCAATCCCCACGATCAAGAATTTTGCGCAAAGCTGAAAAAGTTCCTAAGCTTCATCAGCTGAAAACAAAATTGTTATGAAAATGATTCCAATAATATCGTTCCTCTGTGACGGACGGTATTGTTATGGTTGTGGTGTCACCTACTATTCTTTTAAATTTAGAATGAGTTTTAAAACTACTTCGTTATAGAAATATTAAAAATTTTCATGGTTGAAATCCAGTCATTTCACTATGAATCCACACAATCTGGAATTTTCAAAAAAAGTGAAACTGAACCCCCCCCCACCCTAATAATTATTCCGATAATACCGTTCCTCTGTGACGGTATTGTTATAGTTGTGGTGTCACCTCTACTATTCTTTTAAATGTAGAATAATTTTTAAAATGACTTTATCGTGATAGTGCTAATATATATTTTTTTAAATTGCAGGGGAAACCCAGTTGTTTCAATAGGAATCTGTGCATTCGCTTGTGTTGAAGTTCACGCGAATTCGTTGACCAACAAAAACCGGTGACCACACCTTTCAAATAAGTTCCTAAGCTTCATCAGCTGAAAACAAAATTGTTATGAAAATGATTCCAATAATATCGTTCCTCTGTGACGGACGGTATTGTTATGGTTGTGGTGTCACCTACTATTCTTTTAAATTTAGAATGAGTTTTAAAACTACTTCGTTATAGAAATATTAAAAATTTTCATGGTTGAAATCCAGTCATTTAACTATGAATCCCCACAATCTGGAATTTTCAAAAAAAGTGAAACCGACCCCCCCCCCCCCACCCTAATAATTATTCCGATAATACCGTTCCTCTGTGACGGTATTGTTATAGTTGTGGTGTCACCTCTACTATTCTTTTAAATGTAGAATAATTTTTAAAATGATATCACTTTATCGTGATAGTGCTAATATATATTTTTTTAAATTGCAGGGGAAACCCAGTTGTTTCAATAGGAATCTGTGCATTCGCTTGTGTTGAAGTTCACGCGAATTCGTTGACCAACAAAAACCGGTGACCACACCTTTCAAATCCACACAGGAACCAAAGTACCCATATGGCAGCACTCTAAAAACCATAACCAACCAGAAAACTTTAGCAACACCATGGCAACTAACACTCTGCACATGCAAAGACCACTCAAATTACACAACATTATATTAACAAGTTTTGTTCAACAGCAGGAAGAGAGATAGATGGATTGGCTCTTGTTTTGGCATATTTGCAATATACCAATATACAATATAATTTCTATTCACAGAATCCCAACCATGGGAAACCTTTTCCCAACAAATCATTCCGACCACCTCAAGCAACTACTATGAGACTCCCTACTCAGATGTTCAATCCTTTCAGAATAACACACCTCTCCAAGACCAGCAACTCTACACTACAGGTAACAAAGTTGTTGTTTTTTCGGCCATAACTTATGGAAAAAAATAGCGCAGACACTGGACAAAGAAGCTTTCTAGAGTGCGTCGCGCATGCTATCAAATGGCTTCCAATACTTTGAAAGGCTACACATTTGACTGTACGCATATAAAAACGAAGAATACTTTTGACATAACAATCAGAAGGCTGTAAGCAGATTGTACGAAAACATACAAATCAGATCTTATGATTTCATAAACCTGCCACAAATTCGCTAAAACATAAAATAGTTACGAATAGCCATGCAAAGGTTTCGGTTGTCTTTGAAACACTGACGTTGTCTGTATCGAGAACATTGCGTATGTAATGTGGCATTTCCAAAGGCTGTATCATTCTCACATCAAGAACGATAACTATAACGATATCTATATTAGCGTCCACATCGACACCTAATAACATTGTTTAAATTAAGCATGCACTGCAGTTTTGTTGTATACCTCTTTAAATGCTCAAGCTCTTTAGTTGGATGGATTCTGATTGGCTGTCAGTGTTTTTATTGTTCATCAGCTGGAAAAGCTGTGAAAAAAAGATTCCAATTATATTATTTCTCTGTGCTGTTATCGTTATAGTTGTAGCGTGGACTGTGCCTTTCTTTTAAATTTGGAATGATTTTTTAAAACTATCCATGTCCTAAAATGTTACTTCTAGTGCAGCAATTGAACCTTCCAGCTCTCTGTGACCTGGAGATCTCGATCAACTACAGAAGAACAGAAGTTTTGAAAACTCGCCTGTGTTCACCACTCGTTCAGTTTCACTACCAGTGCGACCCATCTGAGCTGAGAGGTCAGCCAATCCGCTTCCCATCCACTGAGGGTCTGATCGACCAAAAACAGATCCAGTTCACTAAACGCATACTGGACAGCATTCAGAGAGGCCTGCAGCTGGAGGTAAACCAATATGGCATCTACGGCTTCCGTCAGGACAAGTGTAAAGTCTTCGTCAGCACCAGCGACCCGTCTGAGATCCAGAACCCAGAGCCTAGAAAACTGCATCAGAACACCAGAGAGCTTCTGTTCAGCTTTGATAAGTACATAAGAGGTATGAATGATGAGAAAATAATAATTTTTGACATGCAGGAAGTGACATCATTGGGCCCTTTTCTACACCATGGCAAAAAGACAATTAAAAAAAAAACATTGTTTTCTTCAATTTTTCACAAATTGCAGCATCCTTCAACCCTGTTACCATAGTAAATAAATTTATGGAAAATACATTAATCACTAACTAAAAAAGCATTTGGTCCCAAACTAGCTAACACCTTCTGAGTGACAGATTTATTTATGGGAAAGCACTGTATGCAACCCTGTTACTCAATTTGGCATTATTTTGAAATTAATTTTATATTATAAAATATAAAATGTATAATAAAATAATTTAAAATAACTGTTAAACACTTCCTTTCACTGACAATTTGTAAAAAAAAACAAACAAACAAACAAACAAAAAAAAAACCTACATTTGCAACCCTGTTACCATGATTGTTCCCCATTACAAAAACAAAATATTTGCTAAAATTGTGACATTTAGGAAGTGACATCATTGGGCCCTTTCTACAGCATGGCAAGAAGACAAGTAAAAAATATAATTCCGTTTTTTCCCCCCAACTTTTTCACAGATTGCAGAATTGACTACTTAGCTTTCAACCCTGTTATACTAGACATTTTGGGGAAAAATAAATATTTTTCTTTAATTTATGGAAAACATGTTTATCACTAACTACAAAACCAGACTTAGCTAAAACCTAATGAGTGACAAATTAATATATGTGAAAAACTTGTATGCAACCCTGTTACTCAGATTGCCATTAAAAATTATTAAACTTAATCCTTACATAAATGTATAATATAATATATAAATGTAAAATAATTGTAACTCCTTTCACTGACAAATTGAAAGGAAAAAAACCCTTACATTTGCAACCCTGTTACCATGATTGTTCCACTTTAGCATGGCGGGAAGACAAGTAAAAAAAAATACACACACATATATATCCCATTCCAATTTTTCAGCATTTTCACAAATTGCAGGATTGACTGCCTAACCTTCAACTCTGTTACCAGTTATTGGGTGGGAATTCATTTATTTCCATGCATTTTTTTTTAATTTATGGAAAATGTGACAATTGTTTACCAAATGTTTAACAAGCTTCAAATTCATGCTTTTAAAGTCTCATGTAGACTTTACTCATTGAGTTCCATTGTAAGTGCAAGTGTTTTTCCTTTGTTTTTACAAACTTTTCTGTTGTAACGGAAAGCATGTTATAAATGCTGTCCTGACGTTCAGTTAAAAATAGCCCAGAACAACCCTAGCTGTAATGTGATGCGTGTTTCCATTCTGATTCAGATATACATTTTTTCCAGATCTGATGGATTTTAAAGAGAACAGACGGGGTTCTCCAGATTACACCATCTACCTGTGCTTCGGAGAGAAGCTTCCGGATGGAAGACCACTGGAGAGGAAACTGATCACTGTCAAAGTAAATATCGCAAACAAAAACAGCAACACATTTTGAGTCGTTTTGTTTGCGCTTCATTATAACGTATCTATTCCATCTCCACAGGTTGTACCTCTGATTTGCCGTGAATTTCATGAGAGAGCTCAAATGGAGGGAGCGTCCTCTCTTCGCAATGAAAACATTAGCTTGCAGATCTCCCACAACAGCCTTTTTGACCTTATAAATTCTTTGGGTCTGCCTTCAGTGGCCTAAAGCAGTTGTTTTCACCATGAAATCAGCCAGCTAACATTCCTTTATATAAGAGAGAGAGAGAGAGAGAATTACATTTTGTTACTGTTATACTTCAGCACAATGCAAACTAACAGAACTTTCCCGAGGTGATTTCCGTGGGGCATTCAAAGGTCTTGTAATTGCTCTGAATCCATTGCTGGTCGCTCTACCGGTTTAATAGCCATCTCCATGAAACTGTATTATTCAAATTAACCGAAACATTGTCTTTTTATTTTCTAATGAGAGCTAGAGCCTCATTTTAATATCCTGTCTTCTAGTGAAGAATCTTTCACCTTTCGCCCAAAGGGCTGCACTTGTATCACTTCTCGTTTGTTGCTTCATGAATGTGTTATCTAGAAAGTTTGGTATCATTAAATGTACTATTATTTAAAAACTACTGTTTGCTTGTTATGGGTGTTGTTTTATTAAATGATGCTGATGCCAACACCTAAAGATGGACTATGTATAAAAATGTTATGCATATAAAACCTAATAAACATTTACAAAATGAAATATTTTGTTATTAATATACAACGTAATACTTTTAAATACAGACACACTTGTGTATTTAAATCTCAAGATGGCGAATAAAATACAATTATACAGCACATTTCATTAATAAACATTTTCAAAATTCCTGCTAACTAAACATTATTTCCAGAATGCATTATTTATTGTACATTTATCACTCAATATTCACCCATTTTTGGACAGTAACAAAAACATACCCCCTTAGGAAATGTGCCAAAGGATTTTCTTTTAAATTTTTATTAAATAAAGTGTTTAATAAAATTATTTACAAAGACAGCAATATGGAAGCCACAACTCACATCACGAATTATGTATTCTGTGACTGCTTGGATTCATATGATAAAGTTCACTCAGGTTAAGAGATCAGAATAATCTCTCTCAAGTCTGGAAATGAATCAACTCGATGCGATTTGCCACAGGAAAACAGGCCAAACGTTCTGCACGCCTCACCGTGAGATGCAACTCAAGTTACATGATCAATTCAGAAATCTTACAAACATTTTTCAAGCTATTAAAATGACAATTAGTGAAAAGGGTTCAGAAAAAAACTGTTTTGAAATACACTTTTAGCTATCAACTTTTCTAATTAATACTTCTCATTGAAACTTTAGAAGTGCATAAAGAAATGGTTCATTATTTTATAGGCTGAATGTCATTTGTAAGCATGTCGTCCACAAACAGAAAAAAGAAAGCAATAGCAATCAGGAAAAACAACTGGCAAACATTCAGCCGGCAGCTTTTAAAATGAAAACGGTCACATTTCAACCGAACAGATCAATTACAGCCGTTCACGTGTGCCATGAGAGAACCTTATTATTTCTCTATTTACAACAAAAGCATTTCAATGAGGGTGAGGTCTACTGCAAGTTTTCCTGTTTCACCTATATTAGTTCACAAAAAGATTTTAAAGAACCAAATTGAGTCTCATAATGACTGGATATCAGAAAGATATTTTAATAAATACTCTTGAGTTTTCTGAGAGATCACAGAACGTCCCAGAGTATCTTCTGCACCTTGTTCCTCAACATAATGCTTATATTCTCATTAACCACAAAACAATTACTATGCTCTCCAGTGTCAATTATTCATGGTGGAACGACAGGTTCAAGAGTATTGTGTGTGTATATATATGACGTATACATACACACAAACGTGTGTCTGACAATGCAAGAGCCTTTCTGACAACTTAAGCTTCCTGTTGGATCATCAGCTTAAAACAGCATAGTATTCAACACCCTCTTGAAGAGGGTGCTGTTTTGAACAGTGGCAAACGTAAAGATTTTCAACCCATTCTGTATCTGGACACTTCCAAACGATCTTTATATTCAAAAGAAAACATACAAACATTCAAAAAGGTTAATTTGATAACTGATGACAAGATATTCAGCCCTTAAGAGTTTCCCATGTCATTATAGAAATGCACAGATTAAAAAAAAAACATCCAAATCTACTGTTGATCACCATTATATATAAGATACCGTCTGGAAAGCATGTAGCCATTACCCTCGGGCTTACATTGGAGTTTGGGAGTCTTTCGGGGCATCTGCCTGTTGGATTTGCCCAGTTTCCTCTTTCTTGTGTTTTCTTGCATGTTTATACTTATCCACATAGGCTTTGACCAGGTTGGCTACTTTCACCGGGTTAATCTCCCCGCTCTTGCTATGACACACCTTGGGAATGAGACAAAGATGATATGAATGGGGTAATTTTCACATGACAACATGATAATGATTTCATAATTCACTTAAGAAATGGGCCATTGGAGTGGAGGGAAATGTGCAATGCAAATGTGCTCGTCACAGATGTTTACTTCGGTCGTAACACGCCGTACAAGGAAGTGGATATGGAAAAACAACCGCAAAAGAAAACATCTGACGTCACGCAATTACCTTCTGAACGGCTTTGCGCAAAATCTCTTTGTACTCTTCCTTCGTGATGTCTCTTTTCTGGTAGAAGGGTTTTATGGCCAATTTGACCTCCTCTATTGCTCGCTCTTGCATATGAAGTTTCATCATGTACTACAGAAAAACAAACAATGTTTACAAATTCATGACATCAAGACAATGAAAAATGAGATAGTGATATGACGTAATTGTGCCCTAGTCACCTTCTCTGTCTGATTAGGGTTTCACATGACAACATGATAATGATTTCATAATTCACTTAAGAAATGGGCCATTGGAGTGGAGGGAAATGTGCAATGCAAATGTGCTCGTCACAGATGTTTACTTCGGTCGTAACACGCCGTACAAGGAAGTGGATATGGAAAAACAACCGCAAAAGAAAACATCTGACGTCACGCAATTACCTTCTGAACGGCTTTGCGCAAAATCTCTTTGTACTCTTCCTTCGTGATGTCTCTTTTCTGGTAGAAGGGTTTTATGGCCAATTTGACCTCCTCTATTGCTCGCTCTTGCATATGAAGTTTCATCATGTACTACAGAAAAACAAACAATGTTTACAAATTCATGACATCAAGACAATGCAATGAAAAATGAGATAGTGATATGACGTAATTGTGCCCTAGTCACCTTCTCTGTCTGATTAGGGTCGTGTAAAACTTCTTTGTGGGATTTTGGTTTGATGGATTCATCTTGGGGAGGCAGGCTGGAGACCGATGCCATGCATTTTGGTTCAGCCTGAGAGGAAGCTTTATCCTTTAATATGAAATAATATGGTAGTACTGAAGTACCCATAACAGCACTCCAAACTGTCTGAGATCATGAAAATTCCCATAAAATGTTCAAAAGATTTGCGAGGTGTCTCAACTTCCTATGCTCTGGGATTTCCCTGACGGGAATGTGAATTTATCAAGCACAGATTTGTTGCATCTGAATGATTTTTTCATCTTTATTTTAATTAATGATATTATGTAGCTGATGATTGCAAAACATCACAGAAACAATCAGCGTCAACTGCTGAAAATAAACATAACCCTCATAAATCATGGTAAACTTGTTTTTGTCTGGGACACTCCTTGTGAAAGGAGGATGCAATTTCCAAAAGTAATGTTAACTTTCATTTCTTCTGAAGTGAAGCCTTATATGGCTGCTTTCAGTTTCGATCACATGGGTACAATAGAAATTGCATCAGCATTATTTTCACCTCCTCCAGCATTATTTTCACCACCTCCAGAGAGCAAGCTGCAAATTATGAATGCAAATAGTGACAATGACACCTTCTGGTTGCTCGAAGCAACTACATATGACGGGCAATAATTATGATATGCACTGGTATTCAAAATCATTTCTATTAAGAATGGAGAAATTTCAAATGAGTCTCGTATTAATTTTTGTGTTATTAACCTTGTGAAAGGAGGATGCAATTTCCAAAAGTAATGTTAACTTTCATTTCTTCTGAAGTGAAGCCTTATATGGCTGCTTTCAGTTTCGATCACATGGGTACAATAGAAATTGCATCAGCATTATTTTCACCTCCTCCAGCATTATTTTCACCACCTCCAGAGAGCAAGCTGCAAATTATGAATGCAAATAGTGACAATGACACCTTCTGGTTGCTCGAAGCAACTACATATGACGGGCAATAATTATGATATGCACTGGTATTCAAAATCATTTCTATTAAGAATGGAGAAATTTCAAATGACAGTCTCGTATTAATTTTTGTGTTATTACAATTCAAAAGCTTGTTCGTGAGGCTAAATTGATGTAACCCAAAGAGTTTTTTTCAGTTAGAAAGTGTTATGAAAATTCTGCAATTATGTACTATAATGGGGTATATGTTGAATGTCACCTGACCAAACCCAGAAAACAGGTCTCATCACATTCGCTTGGCGGAGAAACTTATTAACTTGTTAACGGCAGTATGAACTGATGGTGATATGGAATTTTAAGATAATCAGCTAACTTAGCTAATTGTTTTTATTGTTGGAGTTTTAATACATTTTAATATCCAAATGCAAGTAAAAAGAAAAAAAACTTTTAGATATCAATCCACATATGTGATGGACACTGGTTATGATCATCTTCGTTTTTTTTAAAAACACAATCAAAGTCAATGTGGTTTACATTGCACATTAACAGTCTTCAAAATATCTGTTGTCTTCAGAAGAAGTCATGCAAGAGTGAACCTCTCAAGCTAGAAAAAAATCGAAGTTAAAAAAATTGACTATGTTAAATGGTGGTGTGGGGGGAATCTCTCTCTTTAAGACACTGTACCTGATTTTGTGGGGTTGTAGCAGACCTTCGTGACCCTTCTTGCTTGAGTTTTAATTTGAAGAGTGCAAGTTCTAAAAGAGGCATGGGAAAACATTCAGAATATTTAACTAGTTTTCAAAAACATTTTAGTTTTATGTTACCTGAATGCTTCACACTAAATCTGCTGTGACTGTAGTCATTTAGGGTGTTCACACTCGTCATGTTTGGTTCGATTAAAACAAACCCTGGTGCGATTGCTCTGTTAGTGCGGTTCATTTGAATAAGTGTGAACGCTGCCACGGAACCCTGGTGCGCACCAAACAAGCGGACCGAGACCGCTAAAAAGATGGGTCTCTGTCCGCTTCCAAACGAACTCGGGTGCGGTTCGAATGAAATGTGAACGCAACACGGACCAAATACTTCTAAACGAACCAAAACCAAGATGCGACGTTATGCGACATGATTTGACAATGGTGTAACTAGAACAAAATGAGCAGAGGGCAAACGTGGAGCAACGATGAGGTAAAGCGCCTTTTATGAGCTCCTTGTGAGCTTGCAGATGGTGAAAATAAAATTATATGTACATGCACGAATGAGCGCACTTAGTCCAGCAGACGACATAAGGTCTGTTCAACTTAAAGCGGCGCCGAGCAGACCGATCGGTTAATGGGTGCTTTGATATCATACACCCGCAGCGCCGCTTTAAGTCTAACGCACCTTTAGTTTGGGGTGTTCGGTGAGTTCCGTCAGGATATATACGTCATTCAAGCCGACCAATCAGGTTGTGAATGTATCACTATGCCTTTAGGTTCGCTGTCAAAAATGCCAATGTGAACGCTAAGCGGACCAGGACCAAATGTATCATTTTTCTTTTTGGTCCGAACCAAATGAACCAAACGAACCGAACTACAAGTATGAACACACCCTTAGTCATTATCTCATTAGTTGCAGAATTTGTTACAGACCAGGGGTGTCCAATCCTGAAGGGCCACTGACTTTCAGAGTTCAGGTCCAACCTTAATTAAACACACCTGAACCAGCATTAAACATCAAATGCTGGGTCTCATTTCGAAGGCTGAATTTGTCCGGAGACTAAACTTCCCAGACAAGTGTGTTGGGTTAAGCTGGAGCTTAACTAAGGGTGTCCTATCCTGTTCCTGGAGGGCCACTGTCCTACAACCCTAATTTAACTCATCTGAACCAGCTGATCAAGGACCTCAGATTCACAAAAAACTTCTAGGCAAGTGTGGATCTGGTTGGAGCTGAACTGTGCAGGACATGGGTCCTCTAGGAGCAGGATTGGACACCCCTGGTCTGTAATGAACAACCGTAATGCAACTATTGAAACCATCTAAAATTCAGACTTGGTGTGAATAGGGAGCAAAACTAAATGGGTCAAGTCAAGAAGTTGCAGCAAAAAAATGTTTACTCACTGCTTAATTTCTCAGACTGGGGTTCTGCTGGTTCCTGCAAATTCCAGGTAACTCGTTTTCCCTGCGATTTAGATTTTGCACCAGGTGTAACTGCTTCGGTAGTTTGTTTATTCTCTGCTGGAGCCTCTGGCATGGCAGACTTTGGATCGACAGCTTCTGTTGAGTCGGCCACAGAGCTCTCACTCATTTCCTTCTTAATGAAGTCTAAATTATCAATCAAGTAATCAACACTGATATCTTCATCGGAGGAAACAACAGGTTCTTGTTTTATTGGCAGGTCTGGCGGCTGAAGAGGTGACATCTCCATGTCCTCCTCCAAAAGTGGCGAATGATAAGACTCAGTGGGTTCCTTTTTACAGTTCACTGCATCTATGTCAGCCATATCCAAATTGATGACAAGAGTGTTGTCACTGCAGCTTGGTGAATCATCTTCATCAAGCCATATTTTTTCAATTTTTATCATTTTTGGTTCAACAACTATTTCTTGCCCTTTCATCTCATCCTGTAAGCTAGCATGGCTCTTCTCTAAATCAGCACTGCCTGATTTAATTTCATTAACATTTGGTGATTCCGTGCTGAAGATGTCTAAAGATGCCACCTCTTCTTTCTCCATCTCTTTAACGCCATCTAATTCTCCACACAAGTTGAGACAGAATTCCTCCTCCTTTTTGATGTCTTTCAACTCCTTGACAGAACCAGTGGGCCAAGGTTCCTCCTCTTTAATTTCATTAGGCTTAAGCAGCTCAAGTGAAACATCATCCTTGCTTTCTTGAAGTGTTCTGGTCAGGTCATCATGTCTTGATGACCCAAGTCCATGAGCCGTGATCTCAACTTTAACTGATGGTAATGCAACAGTTGTCTCACACTCATGTGTTCTCGCATCTCTCTCGGTCTTCACAGGAGTTGTAATCTTGTTTGCACTAAGAGCAGGCTCACGTAATTCAGTGGACATGGGCTCTGTAGACTTATGGGAGCTCCTTTCTGTACGCCGAGAGATCTCGGATCGATCCTCCCTCCGTTTACGCTCCCTAGATGTTGATTTTGACTTCTGCCTCTTTAGCCTAGTCTCACCCTGATCCTTTGATGTTCTCCTCCTTTCTCTGGACCTTGATCTAGAAAATGAATGAGATCGGGAGTGCCTTCTTTCTTTAGACCGCTTCCTATGTCTTTCTCTCCCTCGGCTGTCATTCCTCTCACGACTCGCTCTTCTCCCACTCGTCTTTCTTTCTCTACTACTGGAACTCGAGGAACACCTCCGGTCTCTTGATCGCGGACGTTGCCTCTCTTTCGATCGTGAGTGGGAATGCTGCCTCTCTTTCGAACGGGATCTCCGCCGATCCCTTGACTTTGAGCGTGACCTCCTCTTTTCTTTTAACTTTGAGTGTTTCTTTTTATGGGAGTCTTTAGATGAAAAGCTTTGCGAGTTTGATGGTGGCCGCTTCCTATCCTTGGACTGGGACTTCTGAGGTCTTTCCTCCTTGTCCTTAGCTGTTTTAGAAGAATTAAAAGCACCACTGACTGAAGGCAGCTCTTTACACACCCCATTTCCTTTATAAGCTTGTTGTAGATTGGCTAGAGACTCTTCTAGTGACTTTGATTGGGGCCTGATGGGTGGAGGTCCAGTCACAGGTTCAGACTTCACCTCAACATTTTTTTCACTGCATGACGAGCTTGAACTGGAGTGCTCTTCAGTTTTCTGAAAAGGGCTACCTGGAGTTCCACCACTTCCAGTAACCATGCCTGCTTCGCATCTAGTTGAATCCAAAGCAGGACCTCCTGAGGGAGATGGACTATGCATTGTGTCTGAATGATGTGGAGATTCTTTGCACGGTCTGTCCCACATAGATTCTGGCTCCATTTTAACTTCTTCACACATTTCCAAGCCTCTCTCTGTATCAGAGTGTAGATCCAGAGGCTCAGATTTGATTGGATGGCAGGCTCCAATTGGCACCCGAGGTCCAGTATTTTGGACGCCAACATCAGGACCCTCCTTTTCTGGTTCATTATCAGAGGAATCAGACCCTGTAGGGTTAAAGGGATCATAGACCTCACTCTTCTCCTCTTTGGCTTTTGCTTTTAAAGACAACAGCATCTGTTTACTTTTATTATTCCTCTTTATTGATTCCTCATCACCTCCAGGCAGAGTCCCTCCTGATGCAGGAAGTCGCCGAGCTTGCCAGGGGTTTCCGCTAGCGTTTATGCGGAAACTGACGGAAGAAGAGGAGGGGCGTGAGTTTGAAGAGGCACTAAAAGATGATGAAGTAGAGGTGAAAGAGCTAGAAAATGATGATGAAGCACCAGTTCTGTCTGCTCTTTGCCTCTGAGCATCCACCGTCCTGTTTTGCTGACTCGCACCTGTACCTTGTTGGTCAATGGTACGTTCCCTACCTGTATTGCCTGCTAAGCTGTTCGCTGAAGACCCAGGCAAAGTACTGCTACTGCTGCCACTGTTACTATTTGCACAGGAGGTACTGTCCTTTTTAATTTTTGGTATTCTTGGCAATACAGAAACATCCACCCATACAGGCTTAGGAGGGGGCTTTTTGACAGGTGGTTGTCGGACAGGACCATCCTTGACTTGATGGGGAGAGTTAGAAGGGCCATTTGGCATACTTGAGAGGGGTTGACTTCTAATCCCATTGGTGCTCAAGTGGCTATTCCCAGGTCTAGGTGGGTTTAGGGTGACAGGCCTATGAGGAGCTCCCGGATGCAATAGGGGATTTCCCAAGGGAGAAGGGTGAGAGTGAGGAAGATGAGGGGAGTGTATGGGTGGAGATGTGGGATTCTGTGGTGTGGAAGAGGACCCAGGAGAACTGTGTGCTGGTGGGGACCTCCTCAATGGGCTGAAAGAAGGACCAGCCCCTCCAGAGGGTTGAATGAGACTTTCTTCTGAAATTGGAGTGTCTCCTGTTTCCCCTGAGCTTGAACCTCTAGGGGTAGTGTTTCTTGGCACGGACAGAGACACTGAAAGGAACAAAGAAACATTTTCTTTTTGAAAGGATGACAAACATGCAACATCAAGTTACTATTGCTAAAACCATCAAAACAGACACAATTAGTAAGAACACAAAAGTTTGGCTTACATGTGTGACTGCAAATATATATTAAAAAAAATACTAATGCTGCATCCATTATAGATCAAATGTGAAACATGGAGAACATTGTGCATGACTGTTGTATACTCTATGGTTATAGAGTTGTTAGTCTTGGATTTATATGTTTGTTCAATACTCTTTCCAGGTTTATTTGCTTTAGGATAAATAGATTGACTTGATAGATTGATAAATAGATTGATTTGTTTTGGGATAAATAGATTGACACTCATTAGAAGCAAATAAATATGGGAATACTAGTGCTGTCAAACGATTAATCGCGATTAAAGTTTTTGTTTGCATAATATATGCGTGTACTGTGTGTATTTATTATGTAAATATAAATACACACACATACAGTATATATTTTGAAAATATTTACATGTCTATATTTATATTATAGATAAATATATTTAATATAAAAATAAATTTTTTCTTAATTATATACATGTACAAGTATTCATACCCCTTCATTTTTTTCACGTTTTGTTATGTTGCAGCCTTATGTTAAACTGCTTTAAATTACTTTTCCCCCCACATCAGTCTATACTCCATACTCAAAGGTCTGTTTGTTGTTGACAAAGCACAAAACAGGTTTGTAGCAATTTTGCAAATTTATTAGAAATAAAAAACTGAAATGGTTTCATTGCATGAGTATTCATACCCTTTTCTGAGACACTTGAAATTTAGCTCAGGAGCATTCATATCGCTTGTAGATGTTACTACACTTCGAGTGGAGTTAAACTGTGGCAAATTTATTTGAATGAGTATGATTTGGAAAGTCACACACCTCTCAGAAAAGTTCTAACAGCTGAAAATGCATATCAGAGCAACAACCAAGCCCTGAAGTAAAAAAAAAAAAAAAAAAAAAAAAAAAAAAAAAACTGCCTGTAGAGCTCAGAAACAGGCTTGTGTCAAGGCACAGATATGGGGAAGAGTTCAGAAAAAATTTGGCTGCATTGAAGGTTCACAGAACCATGTAGCCTCCATTATCCATAATGGAAGAAGTTTGGAACAACTAGGACTCTTCCTAGAGCTGGTCGCCCAGCCAAACTGAGCAATTGATGGAGAAGGGCCTTGGTTATATTATTGACCAAGAAGCTGATGGTCACTCTAGTTGAGCTCCATGATCATATATGCAGATGGGAGAAACTTACAGAAAAACAAACATCACTGCAACAATCCACCGATCTGGGCTTTATGGCAGTGCAGCCAAACTCAATCCTCTCCTCAGTGAAGATGCATGAAAACCCACTTGGAATTGGCAAAAAAGCACCCAAAGGACCCTCAGACTGAGAAACGATATTCTCTGGTTTGATGAACCTCAATTCTAAGCATCATGATTGAAGGAAACCAGGCACTGCTAAGTGTGCTGGTAGCAGCCTCATGCTGTGGGGCTGTTTTGCAGCGGCAGGGACTGAGGGACTCGTCAGAGTAGAAGAAAAGCTCAATGCCCCAAAATATTGAGATAGCCTTAATGAAAACCTAGTCCAGAGCATTCAGAAGCTCAGACCGGGCCGAAGGTTCACCTTCCAACAGGACAATGACCCTAAGCACACAACAAGAGTGGCTCACAGACAACTCTGAGAATGTGCTTGAGTGGCCCAACTACAGCTTAGGATTGAACCCAATCAAATATTTCTGGAGAAACCTGAAAATGTGCATCTGCCCCCATCCAACCTGACAGAGCTTAAGAGGTGAAGAGGTGAAAAGAAGAATGACAGATAATTGCCAAATGCTGATGAGCAAAGCTTGTCGCATCGTACCCCCCAAAAAACTTGAGGCTGTAAAGGTGCTTCAACTAAGTACTGAGTTAAAGGGTTAGTTCACCCCAAAATGAAAATTATGTCATTAATTACTCACCCTCATGTCGTTCCAAACCCGTAAGACCTTCGTTCATCTTCGGAACACAAATTAAGATATTTTTTTAAGAAATGTGAGCGCTCTCAGACCCTGCATATAGACAACAACGCAACTGAAATGGTCCAGACAGAAACGTAGTAAGGACATCGGCAAAACAGTCCATGTGACATCAGTGGCTCACCTTCAGTTTTGCGTAGCTACGAGAATAAATTGAGCGCAAAGAAAACAAAAGTAAAAATTTTCAACAATTCTTCTCCTCCGAGTTACGTCTTCCACCATTTTAGAGAGTATCACAATGCATACACACGCTTTCCCCAAAGCATAAACAAGGCTGATTACGCAGATTACGTTCATGCACGTGCTTTCTCCCCTGAACGTAAACAACATTGATTACGTCGATTACGCTCTTGGGTACTCTCCAAAATGGCAGAAGACGTAACTCGAATTGTTAAATAAATTGTTATTTTTGTTTTCTTTGCACACAAAAGGTATTCTCATAGCTTCGCAAAACTGAAGTTGAGCCACTGATGTCACATGGACTGTTTTATCGATGTTCTTATTACATTTCTATCTGGGAACATTACAGTTGTGTTGCTGTCTATGCAGGGTCAGATAGCTCTCAGATTCCATCAAAAATATCTTAATTTGTGTTCCGAAGATGAACGAAGGTCTTACGGGTTTGGAACGACAAGAGGATGAGTAATTAATGACAGAATTTTCACTTTGGGGTGAACTAACCCTTTAAGGGTATGAATATTTATGCAATGTACTTATTTAAGCATTTTATTTTTAATAAATTTGCAAAGGTGTCACAAATCAGTATTTTTTTGCTTTGTCATTATGGTGTATGGAGTGTAAATTGATGTGGGGAAAAAAAAAGTAATTTAAACCAGTTTAGCAGAAGGCTGCAACACAAAAAAAAAAAGTGAAAAAAATGAAGGGGTGTGAATACTGTATATTATGTAAACACAAACTTTTATTTTGGATGTGAATAATCGTTTGACAGCACTAGGGAATACTTAAATCAAAGTTTGAGATTCATTGTGTAAAATAACAATGTCATTGTTATTCAGAGCTTAACCAATATGGATTTTATGACGGCCAATGTCAATATTTTATAAAGTCGATAGCAAATATAAAGATGATATCACGCCATTTAAAGATAACTAACATGTAAATAACACATGCATAGCAATTGCTATGCAAACAAACAAATGGAAATAATTTGAAAATTAAAAATAATTTGAACTTGATAAAATTAGTACAAACAACTTTTCTTGATTCTGTAATCAAAGTGTATGTATATGTATGTAATATATGTATAAATACATACATGTATAAAATGTCATTCAGTGTAACAATATTTATATACCAAAAAATCTTGTTAGGCATATTTAAAACATCAATCATTTTATGACATATTAAAAGACTATTTAAGCATCACAGCGCAGCCCTCAAATATCAATCAACTTACATTTTTTAATCTTTATACTTTGCTAATGTCCTTCAAACCACTAGGTTTTTCCATTCGCCAGCAAAAAGTTTTTGTAAGGAAGTGAAAGTAATTTAAAATATAATAAAATTTAGTATGCTCACATATCATTTTTTGTATTTTAATATGTACAGGTCAGAATAAGTATATAGTTTCATTTTTACATAAATATATCTGTTACTCTGAATGACGATTTGCCAAAAAGAGAGATAATATTGCCATTGTTCCCATAACTGAAATGTTTTTAGTATTAATGTATCATTAAATTAGTTTTAATAATATTCCTGAGTAAATGACTGAAGAAGCAAATATTGAAACATAATATGCATTTTACTGATGCTCTCCTGCTATGAGAAACAATATTGTTGGAATCTCTTTTATATTATTGGATTTTTTTATTCCAGCTGATGAATGATAAAAGCACTGACAGCCAATCAGAATCCATTCAACTTTAAAGAGCCCCAGCATTTAAAGTGGTAGACAACAAACCTGCACCACATGCTTAGAACGAACAGTGCTATCGTTCATTGGTGTGGAGGGCGGCTAACATAGTTACTGTTATAGTTATTGTTCTTGGTGTGAACAGGCTTTAAGAGTGCCACCTAAGCTACTGGGTCCACACTTACTTTATTAGCTTTTTACAGTGCCTAGCGTCTCCCTCTGTTCATGGGTGTCTATAATTAATCAATAACACAAATTAAACAATACCAAAATGCATTAAAATATTAATATTTATCAAGTTTAACACATATTTGTCAATGCTAAACATTTCTTATTAATCTGTAATATCAATAAGATGCTAAAATTGTTATTTATACAGTGATACTGTCATTCAGTGTAATGGATGACACTGTGGTGTAACAGAGAATTTGCATTACACTGAATGACAAAACCATTACCCTGAATGATGAAACTTCTACTTCAGCTAATATTGCAGGCTATCAACTGGCCACCTATTTCAAACAGTGAACTTGACCAGTAAAGAAAATCAGAATTATTCACAACATCTACTTATTTAAAAACAAAATCTAACAATAAAAGTGTTTTCTGGCATTTCACTGAATGACATGTTTTTGTCACCTACCTTTACCACACCATGAAAATATGAAATTATCAAGTATTTTTAAGAGCAATAATCTCACTTTTTGTCTATAATTAATCAATAACACAAATTTAACCATTTCAAAATGCATTCAGATATTAATATTTATTATATTTAACACATATTTGTCAATGCTAAACATTTCTTATTAATCTGTAATATCAATAAGATGCTAAAATTGTTATTTATACAGTGATACTGTCATTCAGTGTAATGGATGACACTGTGGTGTAACAGAGAATTTGCATTACACTGAATGACAAAACCATTACCCTGAATGATGAAACTTCTACTTCAGCTAATATTGCAGGCTATCAACTGGCCACCTATTTCAAACAGTGAATTTGACCAGTAAAGAAAATCTGAATTATTCACATCTACTTATTTAAAAAAAAATCTAACAATAAAAGCGTTTTCTGGCATTTCACTGAATGACATGTGTTTTTGTCACCTACCTTTACCACACCATGAAAATATGAAATTATCAAGTATTTTTAAGAGCAATAATCTCACTGCAGCACCACACGGTCTTTCAGGAGCCATTTGATGATGCCACAGACTGTCGAATGACTATCAGTTTTTTATTTGATTTCAGAATAACTTCTTATTCTTGTTACACTGAATGATCTCAGTTAAACTGCATTTTCGGGACAAAAGTCCTCTGCTTATTTAAATACTTTAAAAAAAAACAATAAGACATAGTCCTTTTAATATAACACAGCCAACACTTACTTGAAAATGCCAAGACAACAAATATATTTTTTAACTTGGCATTTTATATGTTTATTTAAAGACGTAACGGTAAAATCAAAGTCCGGACCATTACACTGAATGACAATTTTACACTTTGGAACAATATTTCCCCCATATTTTGACATTTTATTGTCTCAAAAGTTATTTGAAATATGAAAGTAGACAATTTACTTGCATTTAAGATGTTTTTTAATGTATTTAAAATTACATTTGTAAATGTAAAAGTCTCATCTTTGACCCATATATACAGTGATAAAAGCGTTTTCTGGCATTTCACTGAATGACATGTTTTTGTCACCTACCTTTACCACACCATGAAAATATGAAATTATCAAGTATTTTTAAGAGCAATAATCTCACTGCAGCACCACACGGTCTTTCAGGAGCCATTTGATGATGCCACAGACTGTCGAATGACTATCAGTTTTTTATTTGATTTCAGAATAACTTCTTACTCTTGTTACACTGAATGATCTCAGTTAAACGGCATTTTCGGGACAAAAGTCCTCTGGTTATTTAAATACTTAAAAAAAAAACAATAAGACATAGTCCTTTTAATATAACACAGCCAACACTTACTTGAAAATGCCAAGACAACAAATATATTTTTTAACTTGGCATTTTATATGTTTATTTAAAGACGTAACGGTAAAATCAAAGTCCGGACCATTACACTGAATGACAATTTTACACTTTGGAACAATATTTCCCCCATATTTTGACATTTTATTGTCTCAAAAGTTATTTGAAATATGAAAGTAGACAATTTACTTGCATTTAAGATGTTTTTTAATGTATTTAAAATTACATTTGTAAATGTAAAAGTCTCATCTTTGACCCATATATACAGTGTATATATATATATATATATATATTTTTATTTTACACTTTGGAACAATATTTCCCCCATATTTTGACATTTTATTGTCTCAAAAGTTATTTGAAATATGAAAGTAGACAATTTACTTGCATTTAAGATGTTTTTTAATGTATTTAAAATTACATTTGTAAATGTAAAAGTCTCATCTTTGACCCATATATACAGTGTATATATATATATATATATATTTTTTTTTTAGTGCCCTTCAACCCTCACAATACTCAAATATTTTGGTTTTAATTTCCCATTCTCTTTATGTCATGTCATAAATAGTAGACGCTCAAGTACTATAGAAACATATTAGCTGAGCTTCCACACATTTTTTTTTAGATAATTATGGGCTATTATTCGAAGCATAAACAATAAGATATGTCCACCCTGTTACGGCGCTGGGGGGGATGCAGAAATAATGTGTGCCCCCTCAGTTTTCTTAATGAACTTATTTAAACCGTTAATGGATAATTAATTGAAGGAGTATGGGCCATCTGCAGAGCGGATAAATTTGTGTTCGATTTGCGCAGATCAATCAGCGTCTGACTTGAAGCAGTGTAGCTAGCCTATCGGTAGGCTACCGCAAGAGCGATTAGCGAGCAGATGAGTAGTGATCGACCGATATTGAGGATAAAGTTAATTCACTGAATAATATTCTCTGGAATATTGGAATATAACAAACAAAACATCGTATTTTATTGCATTTCTCAACTGGCATGTTATTTCAGAATTACTAATAATGTTTTTGTCCTTCTAGATTATGAAATGCCTGCTGACAGCGCAGTTTATCTATGCAGTTACACAGAACTATACTCAAACTGCGATCGCTCATGGAGATGATAAATTAGTTTCCATAGAGATGTATTTATTTAGATATTTATTAGCTAAATAATGATTATACAGTAAATATTAATACAATTTAGGGGTTTTTTAAACAAGTGAATCTTGTTAAAAGTTACATGCGGTGGCCGTGCTGAAGCATTTCCTGAGCATCAACCCGGTGAGTGAACAGCAATATGAAAGCGGCTTCACGAGACTAATGATGAGCAAATATACAACAGAGAGAGGTAAATTTAGCGTTTTTATTTCCAACATGCACTCATTCATGGCTGTATTATTTAATTAATGCAAAGTTACGTCTTTATTGGGAGAGAACTTGATGGATTTTAGCCTACGTGACTCTGCTTTCATGAGACGATGAGCATATAGACAACAGAGAGCGAATTAAATTCAGCACTTTTATTTCCAACATGCGCCCATTCATGGCTGCATATTATTTAATTCACGCAAAGTTACGTCTTTATTGGGACAGGACTTGACGGATTATTTTACGTGACTCTCTATTTCTTCGAGCCAAGCTGCATAAACTGCATATCAGGCGTTTATGTAATACATCTAATTTGTGCATTAATGGCTGTTATGTTAAATAAAGTTTTACTAACTACAGTAAATCAAGTACCTGTGCACGCCGTTGTTGTTGTTTCCTTTCCCCTCAGACGCCGTGGTGCAATGGCGATCCTGCGCGCACTTCTCAAAACATCCACAAGATGGCGGCGTTTATCGGTGAATCCGATATTACAAAACCGATATCCGATTATTGTAAAATACTTAAATATCGGGAAAATATCGATAAATCGATATATCGGTCGATCTCTACAGATGAGGCTTACGGTCATCACAGTTTCTCCAGCGTGGCTGGCTGGACGAGCGTTGATGATGACCGCTAATTCACGATTTACCAGACTCACTCACTGTATTTCATCCCGTGCTTTAATAGGGTTACAAATTTTATAGCCTATCAATGCTATAGCATATTGTGTCACATTTATCAAAATAAAACCAATAAAACATTTTTTATAAAAGTGAATTTACATTGTTCCAGGGCTTGCGTCAAGGGAGGGGCATTCGTGGGCCATAGGCCCCCCCCCCCCCGCCGTATTTGGGT